GGCATTCCACCTGGCCAACGACTGCTTTGTTGGCTCTAAGGTCAGTAGATGCAGCTTTCTTAGCTTGTCTATGTCCTCAGTTTCCATGCCTACTGCCAGACTGACACTGTTGGTTTGAAATGTGTCTGTGCAGAAGAATAGGAGGGCTGTACTGCAGGGGTCAGCCAAAAAGTGGAAAACTGGCATCTCTCTGTCTAAGAACAAAGATCTATCCAATGGGGACATGATGGAAAGTGGTGGTCCGAAGATGATCTTTAGGGTGGACCCTTGCTGGTGACTGAAGTGGTGAAGTGATGGTACTGCAAAGTTGAGGACTGTGCTGAACAGTATTGTCTATGTTGTTACTAAATTCCATACACTTCTGCCCACTCTGGTGGTCACAGTTGGTGTGGGAGGTCCTTCTCTCTGTGTGTTGCTTTTATTGGTTAATGAATAAAGAAACTGGATTGGTCTATAGGTAGAACTTAGTTAGGTGGGGAAAACTAAGTTGAATGCTGGGAGAAAGGAGGTGGAGTCAGAGAGAAGCTATGGAGCCACCACCAGAGATAGATGCTGGACAGAACTTTACCCAGTAAGCCACAGCTACGTGGCAATACACAGACTAATAGAAATGGGTTAAATTCAGATGTAAGAGTTAGTCAATAAGAAGCTAGAGCCGATAGGCCAAGCAGTGATTTAATTAATACAGTATGTGTGTGGTTATTTTGGGTCGGAGGGAAATGAACTAGCAGCCTCCTACGGTACACAGTAACGTTTGTTTTGTTTCCACTGTGGGGTGAGTGTGCCCAAGGTTGTGGATTGTTTGGTAGGTTGAGCTTTATCATCACCATTCTTCACCCAGGTGACTGCTGAGGTGGTAGAGGTGGCAGAGGTGGCTGTGGAGGACCACCTCTTAGGTTTGAACTGGCTTTTGAGTCATACTAGGATTATACACAACTGGACTTCCATCTGCATTTGTGAAGGGCTGACCTGTCTGTGGTTTGATCAGAATACTGCCAGGTGGTATGTCAGTTGCTTATGAGGGAGGCAGAAGGAAGCTAGTGTTAAAAGATGCACTTTGCCCACTGAGGTCACTATCAAATGAAAGAGAACTGTGAGTGCTGACTGTCGGGTAGATGACGGGTATGCCTTGAGAAGGTTAACTAGGAGCTGAACCTGGGAGATGCTGCTGGGAGTGAGAAAGAGAGCCTGTAGGATTCTACACTACCTGAAGACTCAGATCTTTTAAACATATTCTCATCTGGCTATCATTGTTTTCAAAGCTAGAGTTTTCTCTTTTAAAGAGTGAACCATGAGCATGCCTAACAAATGACCTTTGAAGCCTTCATAAGTTCTTCTTACATTAGTTACAGCCATTTTTATTTTAGACAAAAGTATAGTAATATTTTATGTCCTGATAGATAAAGCTTGCCTAAAGATCAGAAGGGCAAACTAAACCACTAGAGGTCTGGCAGTGGTGGCACACACCTTTAATCCCAGGATTTGGGAGACAAAGGCAGATGGATTTCTGTGAGGTCAAGCTCATCCTGGACTACACAAGATCAATGCAGAAAGAAATCCAGGTGGTGGTGGCCTACATCTTTAAGCACAGTACTAAGGAGTCATTCGCCCTTAATCCCAGCACCAGAAGGATTATAAAATGAGAGGAGAGAGAGGTTTAATCTGCTTAGTCTGTTTAGCTGCTTAGTTTGTGGTTGCCCAGCCTTGATAGAGGTAAGACCTCTCTAGTGGCTTGAATGCTTTACTGGTTTCAGGTTAAGCCATAAATAATATCCAACTCTGGGTTTTTATTATTCATGCTACATATTAGTCTCCTTATTAGCATGACATTCACAATGTGAATTCAGTTTCATGTACATTCTCTTTAAACTGTAATATGCTGTTGGAGGTCATGAAAATTATGTGACTACTATTAAATTCTTATTCCATAAAGATTTTCATTTAAGTTTTTCCCACATGTTTCACATTCCTTATTTCTTTTTTGTTTTCTTTTATTGTTCTTATTGAGCTATATATTTTTCTCCACTCCCCTCCTATCCTCTCTGCTCACCTTCTACACTCTCCAATGATCCCTATGCTCCCAATTTACTCAGAAAAATCTTGGCTTTTTTCTATTTCCTATGGAGAGTATATCCAAGGATGTCTCTTTTAGGATCCTCTTTGTTGTCTAGGTTCTCTGGGATTGTGAATTATATGCCAGTTTTTTGTTGCTTTATGTCTAAAAGTTACTTATGAATAAGTACATATGGTATTTGTCTTCCTAGCTCTGGGTTATCTGACTCAATATGCTGTTTTCTAGATACATATATTTGTTAGCAATTTTTAAGATTTTTTTTCCTGCTGTGTAGTACTCCATTGTGTAAATGTACTACATCTTTATCTATCGTTTGCTCGAGGGGCATTTAGGTTGTTTCTAGGTTCTGGCTATGACAGAAAATAGTTGAGCACATGTCATTGTGACATGATTGAGCATCCTTTGGGTACATACCCAAAAGTAGTATTGCTGGGTTTTGAGGAAGGTTGTTTCCTAATTTTCTGAGAAATTGTCATACTGATTTTCAGAGTTTCTGTACCGGTTTTCACTCCACCATCAATGGAAGGGTATTCTCTTTACCCCACATCCTCTCCAATATAAGCTGTCATCAGTGTGTTTGAATTTGGCCATTCTTACAGGTATAAGATGGAATTTCATAGTTGTTTTGATTTGCATTTTTTGATGACTAAGGATGTTGAGCATTTCCTTAAGTGTCTGAAAAGATTCATCTGTTGAGAGTTCTCTGTTTATGTTTGCAAACCATTTTTTATTGAATTATTTGTTCCTTTGATGACAAATTTCTTGAGTTCTTTGTATATTTTGGAGATCAGTCCTCTGTCTAATATGGGGTTGATGAAAATCTTTTCCCATTCTGTATCCTGCTGTTTTGTATTATTGAACATGTCCTTTGCTTTACAGAAGCTTCTCAATTTCAGGAGGTCCCATTTATTAATTATTTCTCTCAATGTCTGTGCTACTGGGGTTATATTTAGGAAGTGGTCTCCTGTGCCAATGTGTTCAAGTGTACTTCACATATTCTCTTCTATGAGGTTCAATGTGGTTGGTTTTATGTTGAGGTCTTTGATCCATTTGGACTCGAGTTTTGTGCATGGTGATAGATATGGGTCAATTTTCATTCTTCTACATGTTGATATCCATTTATACCAGCACCATTTGTTGAAGATGCTTTCTTTTTCCCATTTTGTATTTTTTGATTTATGTCAAAAATCAGGTGTTCAAAGATGTGTGGATTGATATCCAGGTTTTTGATTTAGTTCCATTGGTCCTCCTGTCTGTTTTCAGTGCAGTATCAGGCTGTTTTCAGTGCAGATTTCTGGCTCGGGCCTGCTCTGGTAGAGGCTGTGGGCTTGGGTCTGCTCTGGTGGAGGTTGCTCACATAGACCTGGTCCCATGGTGGTCACTCATTCAGGCCTGTTTCTATGTAGGTCTCTGGATCAGATCTGGTCCCACAGAGGTTGCTGGCTTAGGCCTGCACCCTTGGAGGCCACTCCCTCAGTACCTCCTCCTGCCAGAGGTCTTTGCACTTTAGGATGTTGAAGCTTAAGATGTCAGTAAGATTCTTAGATGCCATTTCTTCATTGTGTTTTTAAATTTTCATTTTTTATATAAAATGTTTGTATTTGTTTTTTATAATTTTATAAATATATCATTTTCTAAAGGAAGTAACTCAGTACTTAAAATTGAACAGCACAATCAACTTAGAAAGGAAGTTCTCATGGCATCAGAGGTCCACTCAGTGCAGGGTTTGCCCCTTTGCTTTGTCTTGAGTGAGACTGAGCATCATGGTAGGCAGCATATGCTAGAACAAGTTGCTCTCCCTAAGGCAGCCATGAAGCAAAGAAAATGAAGGTGTTGACATTTTCAATCTCCTTAGCAGGCCTGCTACCAGTGACCTAAAGTCCACCCACTGTGTCGCTACCACCTTCTAGTAGCCCCACTGTGGCTAGTAGCACACAGACTTTTGGGAGAGATTAGAGCCAAATAATAGCATCCAGTGCCTGGTTTCTTTCTCATTTGCCATATCAAGGAACCAAGAGTGTCCTGCCAAGTTTATCTCAGTGCATAGGCATTTAGCTCCTCCTTACCGTTTCTAACAATACCTGCCTGTTCAAGGGACCATGTCCTCATTGCAATCACTAATGTGTTAATGGTCTAAAATTAGATCTAAAATCATTATCTAAATGATGAGACATTGTCAAACTCACACTGTGTTAGAACTCTGTGCAGTTCTACCAGCTTGAACTTAGAGAATTACACTAGAAAAAAATACTTTATAAAAGATGTATTTTGCTGCTGTTGTGACATTGAGTTTTTATAGTTTGAAAGGGTTGCCAGAAGAGCCCTAAATATTTATGGAGTATTACATTACCAGATGCGATTTAATAAGGTTACCCTCTTAAATCAATAAGTGGAATTTTCCTGTACTTTTCTTTCCAGAGCTGTTTTTAATGAGGTTGAGGTTTAGATTTATCCTAATTTTATTAAATTTATTGAGAATTGTTTTGCTTTTATGTGCTAATTTTAATTATTACATATATAACTTGCTTCTCAGAAACTTGCAAAAGTCATTTTGTAACTGAATTATTTAGCAATAGTTCACTTTTTACATGTGTTTCACACCATTCAAATTCTGTATTATTTCTTTTGAGTCATTTTCAGTAAGGCCAGAAAATAGTCCACCTAATTGAGACTTTAATCATTTATGATTACCTAGTTATACAATATCTCCCATAATAAATTTAACTCTACAACTATGGTGTCCTGCGTAGATTTCATAATTCTGTAAGCTAATGCTTCTAATGTTTTATTTTGACATATTGAAAGCCATTATTTTATGGCTCTATCCAAGGAATTTGCTTTCAGGTTTATCATTTTTTTCTGTATTTTTCTATTTTTCCTATTGTTTAGTTTCTCATTTTCAGACTTCTGTGTTTCCGTCCTTTAGGCCTCTATGCTGACTCCTATTTGTCCTTGGTGAGAAATGAAAATGGTAAAGGAGGCCTGGATCACAGCGTGGAGGTGCTGCTGCAGCTCAGCAGGTGTGCGGGTCCATATCCTCCACTCTCCTCTCATCCTCCCGCCTCTGCCCTTCCAGTTGCACACCTCTGCTTCCTTCCTCCTAGGGTCTCAGCGGCTCCTCACACAGCAGCAGGATCCTCTTCTCTTGCCCCCAGTGACAGGCCTGGCCACAACTGTGTCTTCAGGGCCACCAGCCTGGCTCTTTCCTCTTTCTTCCTTGTACTTGGGGTTCATAGTGAGGTGTGCTGTCTCCCCTCCACACCCAAGGGAACATCTTACATTGGCTCTTCCCACCCTTCCTTGTGGCTTGAATCCAGCAAAATAAAATTGTTTGTGTATGTGTGTGGGGGGAGGAGAGGGGGTCCTCTGCAATTGTATGTAACTTAAAGTTTTCATGAAAAGCATTGAAACTTTTAGTGGATTTTGGTTTTAGGAATTGAAGATAAAGGAAAATTCAGACATAAATTAAAATGATAAAAATTTAAAAAGAAAGAGTTGGAATTTTTATTTCTATAATTCTGATATGTTAAGAAAAGCAAAAACCAAGATTCCTCCAATGACTCTTCTGAGCTTCTAGGGTGGTGTGTGAAAGCTGCACATGGACCCATCAGTGAATACCTAGAGGTGGGGAAGCTGACAGCTTCAGAAAAATTGTACAGTGTCTGCCTGGAAACTCTTTCTCTCTTCCTCTGCCCCTCCCTTCTTCCCTCCCCACCTCCCTTTAGTCTCTCTGTCTCATCCCTCTCCCTCTTCCTCCCTCCTTCCTGGTCTTTACAATGACACTATAACAGTGTGGGATGTGTAGAAGAAAAGACTAATGGAGGCAGTGGATGGCATATTGCTGTGAAATACGGGTGCAGTTGCTTTTCTCTTTCTAATTTGTTTTTCAGTGGCCTCATGTGCCTGCAGTGTTAGTGGCATGGCAGAGGAGAGGAAGCCATCCAGAATCTCCCCTGGAAATCTAATTAGAAGTGGCACAAACTCTTAGCACCTTGAGTTTAAGAGCTTGCCTTTTACTTTTGTCTGTTGTCTGCTCAGTCAGTTAAACCAGTGAGGAAACTGTAACTACACCACCAGCTCATCTCCAAGTTTACGGCATGTGTGGATGTATTCTGAAATATTTATACACAATTACTTCATGCTTTAAATAATTTGTAAAACAAAATCTGTGTGTGACTGATAAGCGAACAGATGGCACTTGGATGCTGGTCTAAAATCTGTCTTCATTTCCTTGTGGGCTCATAAAATTATATGAAAATCTAATTTACATGACAAGTTTAACATAGAAAAAGAAAATTATACTCAATTAAGTGGATACTAAGTATGCTGTATAATAGAGATTATTGTTGTAATATTGATTTATCTTTTACAAACATATTTGTAAATTCAGCTTAGAAATAAATATATGTTTAAACAGTGGAAAAATAAATAACTAATTATTGTAGTAAACCATATTACCATATGAAAAATATCTCAATAAATATTTTTAGAAGAGAAACTGCCTTTAAATGCCTACTTATAATCATTATTATAATCATTGAAATGTAACCAAATCAAAGGCTTTCAGTGAAAATGAATATATTCTGAAATAGTAGAGTGGTGATTTAAGACAAGCACGTCACGATAGATGGGAACTATCAGAGTGTCTCAAAGAAGCTATGGCACACTGTTTTATGGATCTAACAACACAGATGTTGGGAGTCTTGTTTACTTCCTGAAACAAACCTAAGAACCCAGACCATCCTAAGAGGAAGCATAGGAAGCCTGTAAGCATGAGTGGACAGGCTGTATATCATCAGACGGGTGGAGTATCTCTGTGGGCTGAGAACACTCCAAAGTACAAGCCACTGGTGAAATGAACGCCACTACACAGGCTCTGATGTGGGACTCTCTCCTTCCACTGGAGCACGTGTGTCAGCACTAGAGCTGCGCCCCTTTTAGAGACTGGGGAGAGAGCACGGGAAGAACCAAGCCTGAGTTTCTGTAGACATAAACACGAAAAACAAAAGAACCAGAGAGTATATAATAGCTTCAATGAACATTTGGGAATAGTGATAAGATTGTCTAAGGAAGACAGGACCTCTTTTTAAAAACAAATCAAGTAGCCTTCAAAGATTTGAAAATAAATTTGTGAAAAGGAAAGGATAAAAAATGCCTTCTGACAATAGAAACTGTACCTAACATCGTAAGAGGAAAATAGTCCAAGACAGCAAAGAGCATACAACAACTATCCACAGAAATAAAAGAGCAGCCGAAAATAAAGGCTCACTGGGCACAAAAATTTTATCATATAACTTAGTCCAAGGACACATGAATGGTTAGGAGTGATCTGCCCATCAACACCACTTACTATGAGTTAGAAGTTAGAATTGATGACTTCCTGTTTACTCCTAAGAGTAAAGGAACACAGTGGTGAAGTTATGTGTGGTGAAGTCAATTAGCTAGGTTATTTTGGATGGCAGTGTATATATGTTCATGTATATTCTTTCTGGGTAAGGTGACATTATCTTTATCCTTAAGTTAGTTCTATGAAATACCTCAAAAACAATGCCAAGCAATTTTTTTTAATGAAAAGAAGATGAAATTGCACAAGGATAAGACTATTAAAGCCAGTTGTTCCATATTCTGGAATTATCTAATACAGAATTTCAATTATACTTAATATATACAATAATAACAGAAATATATCAACATTTTAGAAAGAAAACAGGGATAAAATAAGCTGGGATTTCTCAAGTGGTATTAACATAAAGAGATCAAAATATAGAAATAAGATGTAGTAGGAAATTTGAAGGTAGAATGACTAAAAAGTATTCAGAAGAAAGTGTTAGCACAAAATAATAATATTCAGAGAGCATGTCAAAAATATATCTAGCCACTTGCCTAAAGGACCAGAGACCAAATATTTAAATTTGGGTACCATACTCTCTGAGACGAATTAAGCTTTGCCATTGTTCACAAGACACATTATGTAGGAAAGAATAGGGGAAGTTCTAATAAAAAATCATTAACAAAATACTGGAAGCTAGTTTGACTTGGTTATTGAGCCACACAGTCCAATCTTTGGAAAATTGAGATATGATATTATTACTACAGGATAAGATGCAACACTCATTATAATAAGATTATAGTTGGTAACTTAGAAAAGATGCCAGGTTACATACAGATGGAAGCCTTAGAAAAAATGGGATTCTTTTATCTATTGTAATATACAACTTAGGAAACCATTGTGAGCCTGTTGAAAAGAGCAAAAGATAACCATTACCAGCAAAACAAAAAGAAAACAGACAATATGTTTTTCCCACCTCTCTCCCCACTAGCCTCTGCCCTTTTCTCTCTCACACACACACACACACACACACACACACACACACACACACACACACACAGTGAAAGATAAAGACAGAGACAGACAGTGACAGAGAAACAGAAAACCAGACAGAGACAAAGAATATATTGACATATATCTAAAATCAACATATGAGAAAAGAAATTTGATATTTGTCTTTCTGAATTTTGCAAAAAAAATTATAATCTCTAGTTCCATCTACTTTCCTTCTAATAACATGACCGAGTTTTGATCATAGTGGATTAAAATACCATGTGTGTCTATGCTACATCTTCCTTAACAGCTGTATGAACATCTAGGCTGATTCATAACTTGAAGAGTGCCATGGAAACCACAGACAAGCTGGTACCTCTGTAGTATGTCTAGACTCCTCAGGGTATGTCCCCAGGAGTGGTATAGCAGAATCTAGTGGGGAGAGAGGTGGGAAAAACATATGGAATTAAATATAGTTAAAGTATATAGTATACTTGACTGAAAATGTTTATGGAACCCACGAATATGTACAGTGAATATGAACTAATTTGAAAACCTATCCAAAAGGATTTCATTTATTTAAATTGCATACAGTTAAAAACCCTCTATAAAGAATTCAGGGCACATCTCATTTATTTAATTTCAACTCTAATAGAATTGGGGTATTTTGTTTTTTGTTTGTTTGTTTGACACAGGGTTTTATTATAGAGCCTTGGCTGTCCTGGCGCTCATTGTGTAAGCCATACTGCCCTCGGAGTTACAGGCATTCACCTGCTTCTGCCTCACAATGACCAACCAACCCAACATGAAGACTTCTTAAGAGGACCCTACTCCAGGCGAAGTAAGCCAATGTCAACTAATTTTCATAAAGTAAAAGATCATCAAGAAATTTTAAGTAGCAGGACAGTAAAATTTTTCCCATACCTAAAGAACTTAATATATTTAAATAATTCCAAAATATGTCTAAAAAATGTTAAAAATGTGACAAGTAAAAGAAATAGACCGACAGGATTTTATAGCATTAGCCTAATTTCCACAGCCATTTCTAGAGCTGGATCCTTTCCTTATTCAGTATGCATGCTTCCACTTTTCCTGAATCCAAAATAACCTGAACATGCCTTTTATTTGTTCAATTAAGATTGAAATTTCTAAATAAATTGATTTTATTCTGACATTTTGAGAAATGTATTAAAAGCTTACCCATCTCTGTATTAGCAATAAAAAAAAAGAAAAAAAAAAGAAAACAGACAATTGTCAAACTGCCTCCGAAGAACTGAGGAGCAGAAAGAAGGGACAGTCTCCACCCTGGAATTCAGAGCAGAGCAAAATGCCGCTGAGACTTGAAAGAGATTAGCAACTAGAGGTTCAGAGTGAGCAATCAGCTTTAGAAATAATTAGGATATATTAATCATAATGGTGTTCATCATGCAATTTCATTCGTGTGTACAATGCCATCCAACTGTACTACATGCAAAGAGGTTCTTTAAAAAGGAAGAAATAGCTTCAAAATAAATAGCTTCAACCAAGCAATTGATGGGAACCTTCATCTACCATGCCTTCTGTTTGTGGACCAGCACTGCAGGGAGCCTTTAAGTAGGAGGAAAGTGTCCTGTGAGGAGGCTGGAGAAGCAGTGCAGGCACGTGGTCAGCTGAGCAGCTCTCAGAACGTTTGATGGGAAGCAACACTAATGCTTTTTACTTAAAAACTTAAAAAAACTATATGTTTTTTCTTGGGTTCACCTTCTTCTTTAGCTTCGTTAGGTTCACCAGGTATACACTCCGTGACCTTTATTTATGGCTAGAAGCCAATTATGAGTGAATACATCCCATGTTCATCTTTTTGGGTCTGGGTTACCTCGCTCAGGATAGTGTTTTCTATTTCCATCCATTTGCATGCAAAATTCGAGAAGTCATTGTTTTTTACTGCAGCATAATACTCTAATGTGTATATATTCCACACTTTCTTCATCCATTCTTCCATTGAAGGGCATCTAGGTTGTTTCCAGGTTCTGGCTATTACAAATAATGCTGCTATGAACATAGTTGAACAAATGCTTTTGTCATATGATAGGGCATCTCTTGGGTATATTCCCAAGAGTGGTATTGCTGGGTCCAGGGGTAGGTTGATCCCGAATTTCCTGAGAAACCGAAACACTGATTTCCAAAGTGGTTGCACAAGATTGCATTCCCACCAGCAATGGATGAGGGTACCCCTTCCTCCACAGCCTCTCCAGCAAAGGCTATCATCGGTGCTTTTGATTTTAGCCATTCTGACAGGTGTGAGATGATATCTCAAAGTTGTTTTGATTTGCATTTCCCTGATTGCTAATGAGGTTGAGCATGACCTTAGGTGTCTTTTGG